GCCAAGGTTGAGAACCACTGCTCTAGATACTTTACATATGCTATCCAATTTAATGTTTTCAATGACCCAGTGAGGCAGGTGTTACTTAGCCCCATTTATAGCTGCAGACACTGAAGCCCAGAAAAGTTAGAGAATATCCCCACAATAGTTAGAGAATATATCCACATTCACTCAGCTAATAAGAAAGTGCTGCACCAGGCCTCCATCTTGGTCTTCAGATCCCAGGGCTGCCTCTAGGGCTATCTGCACGCAGCTGCAGTTGCCCACTTCTCATCACTGCCCACCAACCCCACTTGGCACACAATAAAGGAGGCTGACAATCTGGCTCCCAGAGTCAGAGGAAATGCCCACTGACAACACCTGATGGTCCCTACGTAGCTAGTAGTAGGACTGTCCAGGGTGGACCCATGGGAATCAAGTCAAAGGGAAGGCCTTAATTCAGAGCAACAGAAGAGTCTTTTCAGATCCCCAAAGGACTGAGAGCACTGGGGGCCCCTGGCCTTGAGAAACCTCCTCTCTCCCACAAACTCTTGGGAAAGCCTTGGGGAGCTGGGCTGAGGATGGACCTCTATCCCCACAACATTTCAAGCTTAGTCGGGTCCTCTCTTACCCTTTCAAACATGGCAGTCATGGAAACCAGCAGTGATGACAGGCACCTGCTGGCTTTTCCCTTCCTATTTATATCAATCACTTTTCACTTAACCTGGACTCTCCTTGACCAAAACCCTAATAACTGCTACTCTTTTCTATCTGTCCTGTCCTACTGTCTTCCACCAGCCTCTGCCTCTGACCAAACAATCCCAGCTTCTCACAACTGAAGTCCTCACTTTAAGCCAGTGGTTCTCAACCTTCTGGCCCTTTAAATACAGTTCCTCGTGTTGTGACCCAACCATAAAATTATTTTCGTTGCTACTTCATAACTGTAATGTTGCTACTGTTATGAATCGTAATGTAAATATCTGATATGCAGGATGGTCTTAGGTGACCCCTGTGAAAGGGTCGTTCGACCGCCAAAGGGGTCGCAACCCACAGGTTGAGAACCGCTGCTTAAGCCAACCAGTCCTCTCCTGGGAATCAATCCTTAGGAATCACACATGGGCATGAAGACTCAGCAGCAAGAAGACTCACTGGAGTCAGGCTTTTAAGAGTGAAACATAAAGAATAATCTAAAATTTCAGTATAAAAATAGTTACATAAATGATGTACATCAAAACAAACAGAATAAATAAATAAATAATACAAACAGAATACCATGTAACAATTAAAAACGATGATGTAGCCCTACCCAGTTTGGCTCAGTGGTAAGACTGTTGAGCTGCAGACTGAAGGGTCTCGGGTCCAATTCTGGTCAAGAGCATGTAACCTCAGTTGCAGGCTCGATCCCCGGCCCTGGAAGGTGCATGTTCAGGAGGCAGCCAATGTGTCTTTCTCATGTCTCTCCCCTCCTTTCTATTCTCTCTAGAAATCAATGGAAAGATACCCTCGGGTGAGGATTAACAAAACAAAACAAAAGATGTAAAAGAACATTAAATGACACGGAAATGTATTCATAATACTAAGTGTAAAAAGGATATAAAAGACTGCCCCAGTTTAAAAAACATATATGCAAAAAGTGTGTATTCATATATAAAATTGTGTGTGTGCACAATATATGTAAAATTGTGTGTGTGCACAATATATGCAGAATATAAAGTTATACATTAAGAGATTAACAGTTTACCAGTAGTGGATAAATTTTTTAAATATATTTTTATTTTTTTTTAAATCTTTATTGTTCAGATTATTACATTTGTTCCTCTTTTTTCCCCCCATAACTCCCCTCCTTCCAGCTCCCACCCCACCCTCCACCCTCACTCCCCACCCACTGTGTTCATCCATAGGTGCATGATTTTTGTCCAGTCACTTCCCGCATCTCCCACACCCCTTTTCCCCCCAAGAATAGTCAGTCTATTCCCTTTCTATGTCCCTGATTCTATTATAATCACCAGTTCATTCTGTACATCAGGTTATTTATTCACTTGATTCTTAGATTCATTTGTTGATAGATGCATATTTGTTGTTCATTATTTGTATCTTTACCTTTTTCTTCTTCTTCCTCTTCTTAAAGGATACCTTTCAGCATTTCATATAATACTGGTTTGGCGGTGATGAACTCCTTTAGCTTTTCCTTATCTGTGAAGCTCTTTATCTGACCTTCAATTCTGAATGATAGCTTTGCTGGATAAAGTAATCTTGGTTGTAGGTTCTTGGTATTCAGCACTTTGAATATTTCTTGCCATTCCCTTCTGGCCTGCAAAGTTTCTGTTGAGAAATCAGCTGACAGTCGTATGGGTATTCCCTTGTAGGTAATTGAGCCTCTTTCTCTTGCTGCTTTTAAGATTTTCTCTTTGTCTTTTGCTCTTGGCATTTTAATGATGATGTGTCTTGGTGTGGTCCTCTTTGGATTCCTTTTGTTTGGGGTTCTCTGCGCTTCTTGGACCTGTAAGTCCATTTCTTTCTCCAGATGGGGGAAGTTTTCTGCCATTATTTCTTGAAATAGGTTTTCAATATCTTGCTGTCTCTCATCTTCTGGCACTCCAATAATTCTGATATTAGGCCGCTTAAAGCTGTCCCAGAGGCTCCTTACACTATCTTCACATTTTCGGATTCTTTTTTCATTTTGCTTTTCCAATTGGGTGTTTTTTGTCGAATCTTTGGTTTGATTCTTGTGCTCGTCTGGTCTGCTATTGGGTATAATATTCTTTATTTCAGTCCGTGTATGCTTACTTTCTAATTTCTTTATCGTAGCATCGAGGGTCTCATTAGTTTTCGTGAGGCTCTGCACAAATTTATGGCAAGCCCTCAAAATTGCGATTCTTAGCTCCATATCCTCCATTTCTGTCATGTTTTTTTGTCTCCGCATCTTTTATGCTTTCTTGGTGCACCCCCTTGTGGTCTCTGTGCGCAGTCTTGTTCTAGCCAAGCCTTAATTGTTGTAGTTAACACTGGAGGGATTTGACCAGCAGACCGACTGGCTGTAGGATTCTGGGGAGGCGCTAGTCCTGCCCTTGCCTGAGGCGATCGGCAAATGTCTGTGCGCAGTGCTTGGGCGGGGCGGGCTCAACAGGGCGGGGGGAGGGAGCAGCTATGGCCGCTCTCAGTCCGTCCCCAAGGGCTCTGCCTCTCTGTCCCAGCAATCGCTGCAAACCTCGGAGGGGCCGTAGCCAGACAGTCCCGCTTCTCCCGTTTGAGTCTGGGTCCCTAGAGACTCGCCCGGATCTGTAGCCCAGAGTCTGAGACTCACTCCTGAGTGAAAACGACAACCGCGCCCTCAGCCACCAGCCCGCTTTGCGCGCGCACCACCTCACCACCATACCTTTAAATTTTCCACACTGCGCCTCCTCTGTGCGTCGGACTGCTGTTGTTTTTGCTTCTAGTTGAAGAGTCTCTCCTCAGCCAGCCTTCCTGTGGTTCTGGTTGATGTCTGTTCAGACTTTTAGTTGTATTTTTGAAGTGGTTGTTTACGGCGGCGGTCTCCGGTGTTTACCTACGCCGCCATCTTCCTAAATATATTTTTATTGATTTTTAAAATGTATTTTTATTGATTTCAGAGAGGAAAGGAGAGGGAGAGGGAGAGAGAGAGGGAGAGGGAGAGGGAGAGAGACAGAAACATCAATGATGAGAGAGAATCATTGATCAGCTGCCTCCTGCACACCCCACACACTGGGGATAAAGCCAGCAACCGGGGCATATGCCCTGACCAGGGATGGAACTGTGACCAGCCAGGCGTGACTTTTAGAGACAGAGGAAAGGAGAGGGAGAGAGAGAGACAGAAACATCAATGTGAGCCCAACTGGTCTGGCTCAGCAGTTGAGTACTGACTCAGGAATCAAGAGGTCACCAGTTCGATTTGGGGTCAGGGCATATGTCCAGGTTGCAGACTCAATCCCCAATAGGGGGCGTGCAGGAGGCAGCCAGCCGATCGATGATGCTCCTCTCTCATCAATGTTTCTATCTCTCTAACCGTCTCCTTTCCTCTCTCTAAAAATCATTAAAAAAAAAAAAAAAGAGTGGTGAGCCCTAGTCGGTTTGGCTCAGTGGATAGAGCATCGGCCTGCGGACTGAAGGGTCCCGGGTTTGATTCTGGTCAAGAGCTTGGATGTAGGCTCCTCCCCCGCCCAGGCCCCAGTTGGGCTTGTGCAGTAGGCAACCAACTGATGTGTTTCTCTCACATCAATGTTTCTCTCTGTCTTTCCCTTTCTCTTCCACTCTCTCTAAAAATCAATGGAGAATTAAAAAAATAAAAAAGTGGTGAGTACTTAACAAAAAAAAATCAATGAGAAACATCAACAGGGATCAGCTGCATAGGTCGACCTCCTGCATAGGTCAATGCTCAACCACTGAGCCACACTGGCATGGCAGTGCTGTAATGGGTAATTTTTACTTTCTTGCAACTCTGTTGTTTTTGCTTTAAACATATATTACTTCTGTAATAGGAAAAAGTATTTGTGTGTCCTACTTTCTGTGGAAGAACAAAGACCAAGAATAACTAATATAAATGGAAGAAGAAAAGAACAAGGTGGGGAACTAGCCCTGCCAAGATTGGTTATGGTGTGATAATATTTAAGATGATGTGTTAGCACAGGAAGAGAAAAACAGGCCAATGAAGAGACCTGTGACTAGATGGAAACTTGCTCTAGACAGAGGTTATAAGTCACTAAGAAAAGAATAGATTAGTCTAGAGGAGCTCAAATTTTGTAGTATAGGGATTCCGTTATCCTCTTAAAAATTAACAAGGATGGGGGGGGGGTGACTAGGCAAAGCCCCAAAGATTTCAAGTCTGTGAAAAAAACTCTGTATGAGACTATATACATGTCATACATTTGTCCAAACCCACAGAATGTACAACACAAGAGTGAACCCTAATGTAAACTATGGACCTCATGCTCTGATAATGATGTGTCCACACAATTTATCAATTGTAACAAATGTACCACCCTGCTGGGGAAGTTAAAGGAAGAGGCTATGCATGGGGGATTAGGGGGTGTGCTGTGGGTATAGGGGAAATCTCTGTAACTTACTCTTAATTTTGCTGTGAACCTAAAGCTGCTCTTAAAAAATTAAGTCTTTTTAAAAAATTAATGAGAAACCTAAAGAGTTATTGTTTATAGGCATAGGGTTTATTTCTATTTATATTGACTGATCTGGAAATTAAAACTGATTTAAAAATTAAATACTTAACTAACTTAAATTCGCTAATAAGTTTATTAAATGTTAACATAAATAACCTATAATTAAAATATATTTATTTATTTACTTATAAACAAAGCAGTGAAAAGAATGGCATTATTTTACATTTTTGTAAAGCTCCTACCAGCTTAATGGAAGACAGCTGGGTTCTCACATAGGCTACTGCAATCAATCTGTTACAATATGCTGTTTTGGTTGAAGAATATGAAGAAAATCCAGCCTTACATTGATAAATAGTTGTAAATGGAGAAGTATTATAGCCTTTTCAGCTAATTGAGGATATTCTACTCTGTTACTACACCAAAACTCAAGTGGCGGTGTATTACAGTTAGTTACAATGTGGAACAGGAAACTGTATCAATTTATTGCATTACATTGAAACATATTTGTCACGCAGTTTTAATTGATCTTTCCCCTATCATGCTTTTGTAACATCATACATTGGTCTTTGAGAAAATACTGATCTACTGAGTTATTACATTTCACTACACAATATTTTTAAAGTCTTTATTTGCAAATATCATCATTGGTTTCATCAAAAAGCTTTTAAATACTGAAAAGTTGCCAGATTCATGGTAGTGAATAAAATTTTCCCAAATATCTAAGTTTTGCTTGAAAGCTTGAATTTTATCATGGGCAACCATAAGTTGTCCTTGCAGTGACCAGCTCACTTCATTCATTTCTGAGAAAATATCTGCCAAATATCCTAATCTGAGTAACCATAGTCTGTCATTCTTTCAAGTAAAAATGATGCTCCATGAAAAAAGTTGCCAGTTTTTCTCAACTCAAACAACTGTACAAGTATATTACCTAAACTGCCATCATTCTTCCATGCACTAGAAGTGCTCTATGCAAACTTCCTATGCCACCATACTGAATATTAAAAAGACCTGCTGCAGAGCTAAAGCTTTAACACAATTACTACTTTTCATTGCTTCTTCAAAGGTAGTAGTCTTAAGTGAAAGTATTTTGTTTAACATTGAATGTGTGGGGGTGAGGAATACAATAACAAATACTGCTAGCGTTTGGTGACATTGCATTGATTCCTGCTAAGGTGCCAGCAGTTTTTACCCACCATTGCTTTTATACCAATAATGCACATGATAACACAGCACAAATGACAAAGGCAAATAGCTCCTTTAAATTATTATGAAAAGAGTTTATATTCTGGACCCTCTAAAAGACTCTTGGGGATCCACAGAAGGTCACATTTTGAGAACCACTGGATT